GACGGCCAAAGGAGCTTTTTTCATTTAACCCTTCACATTCCAACAGAAGCTGAATAGGCAGATTCGAAGGATTTATTTCTTTGGAAATGTTATTTTAAATACAAATAAATCAAGTTATGTTGGTAAAACTAATGAAAAATATAACAAATAAAATATTTTGCGTAGAGGGCCCTGACGGCTCGCCACTGGTCTCATAAGTAATGAAAAAACAATGCTTATTCAAGGGTTGCTGCAGTTTGATAAGGACATTAAAGATGCTGGCGAATGCACAGTGCTGATTCTAGAGTCTGCGCACCCCCCCCGCGTAGCGGAGCAAGGCAGCGAAATTTAAGATAAGAAGCAGGATTTTACGAGGGGGTTTCCCGACATGTCGTTGCAGTAAATTAAAGGGTGTTTCATGTTGTCGTTGCTGTAGACCTTCTTAATCTACCTTCTTTGGCGGCCCCCTTCTGGCCCCAAGCAGTTGCCTGCCTTGCCTGTCCGCAAGCGGCGGCCCTGGGAATACATACAATATGGGAATTTACACAATGAAATAGTTTACAAAACATGGCAAATAGTATTTTCTCAAGCTAATACAATTAAGTAAGAGAAACTCAAAAGTATTGCAAACATGCCATAAAAACACATCTGCAGGGTGAGGTTGCTATGGCACCTTCAACACTGTGTGACAACAATTTAGATTTACGATTCCAAATTCTCTCATGTTTTAAAAAAAAAAATCCTTGAATTCACTCTACATAGATGCATATTTCTCAGCTTTCCTCTGCTGAATTTGAGTATTATACCCTAATAAACTACTAATCATTGTCACTGTATACAGTATATTATGAAGTTATTCAGAAGTAGAGTAATGGTGAATTACATAATAACCTTATTTTTGGTTATAAGCTCACTCTCTAAATAATGAAGTATACATGACAGTTATTAATATTACAGAAGAATATCTGTTTCTCTCTTGCCGTATTGTTCTGTAATTTATACTGTAACCTGACTGAATTTCAGTTCCTCGCAGCAATTATTTTTGGAACAGGATCATAATGCTACAGACAGAAGGTTCCTGGGCGATGTGACGCATATGTATTTTAATCTTGATCAGAATTTCATTATTTTCAGAAGGAGAGCAATTATGGGTATTCTGGGTGCGTGGTATGTTTTTCATTTTCTTCAGTTATTTTCCCACACTCTATAGAGCTTTTTCTGAGTGTGTTTGTTAGTCAAATCTAAAAACAAAAAGCCTCACTATGAGACTGTTTGGGATCTTTCAAACTCAAAATGTAGTTTTGACAAATGCTTTCCTCGAGTATAGCATGACTCCATTGTGTATACGGTGAAAGACCTGCGTCCTTCTCTCTACCAGACATTCCCATGGGTGTCTGAGAAACCAGCAGCTCTCTCACCAACCCCCCCGCCCCACCCTCTTCTCTTTTTTTTTCTTGTTCTATTTCTTCCCGATCTCCAGATCACTCTCCCTTTCCCGGCTTCTTTCCATCCCTCTCACTCTCTTTCGCATTCTATTTGGGCAGACATCCAGGGCAGATCGTTGCTCTCAGGATTTCATTAAAAGGATGTTGATGGAGCACTCTCCCCAGCCTAAGTAAATGTGCTCAAGTCCATTTGAGAGAGCATTGTTTGGAAATGGATAACTGAAGTTGGAGGATAAAAGGAAAAGAGGGAACGGGAGAGAAAGGAAGACAGGAAAAGGGGGATCTACATATTTGTCTTCCAGATGAAGCAGAAAGTTTATTTGGAGTTGCTAAATAGCTTCTGCGAAGTACAAACGCTGAGCAAAAACAAGACAAAAACCCTAGACTCTGCTTCTCAATTATAGCATGTTTATCTGGGACATGGCTGCATGTAAGAGATGACTTTCATTGTACTCCGACAGGTATATTTGACAGTCTACATAAGGGTATCTGGCACATTGGTGGATGGATAGCTCGAGCCACTGTAAGGACATGACAGGTGTTTCATATCCTAGCTATGTGTATCACTGTCTACACACACATAATCACAAATTATTGGCACAAGGGGAACATAACAGACACAAGTAAGTACACACATTACCCAAGCCACCACATGTTTATCCTTCATCTTTTCAGACCTGGCTGTCACAGGAACACACTCCTCTCACCCGTGATACCTCTTAACCTGACAGTCCCAGCATATCTATGTTACATCCGCACTCCAGATGTGCAGCTAGCTGTCACGACTGGCCAGCACCTGTCACAGGTGCCCACGACCAGGTGGAACCAGTACTGTAATCTCATTCGGTGACATTAGGTTGACAGCACGCCTCTTAGACTGTGGCTGGTTTGTTTTTCACACGCCTGATAGGGAAACTTGTTGAGAATAGCTTAAAACACCAAGTTTTGAAAATGTATTTTGACAGCAAAAGGTGGTAAGGTCACGGGTGTATATATATATATATACTTTATTTAACCATGTGAAAGTCTCATTGAGATTAAAATCAATTTGTCAAGAGCAATGTGGCCAAGAGGGCAGCATAAACAATGTTACAACAAATGAACACAAAACAATACAGCGGTCGTAAAACACAGATTAAATTGCACATTAACCATTCATAATGCAAAATAAGAGAAACTATTATAAAACATTCAAATCTGGCACAATTTTAAAACGACTTCTATTATGGGATGTACGAGCAATCACATCGACCAATGAAGTTGAAAGGTATCTTGAGGACAAATGTAGTTTCGGTTTTCCCCCTCTCTTGGACACTAGTTTTTTCCTTCACTGTGCCAACATTTATCAACCAGAAAATATACCCATCTGATGTCTCTGTAGAATCCGGCACCATATGACACCCACTTTATTTATTACCAAGGGATTTTTGCAAAGTATCACTTGATATCATTGAAGATGACTCCTCTCAAGGACTATGGTAGTTCTGCAGCTGCAGTGGATGTGCTTCATTCTGGCTCATCCACACACATTTTATACAAAGAGTTAACTGTCCAAGATAATAGGAGTGTGTAAATTCTGTTAGAAGGGTGATATTTCACTTCAAGGCAAACAGAAAACAGCTTGTTCCTTTTTCAGTAGCCAGCACAATATACCATGTCCAAAGAGCTCTCCCCATGCTTCGAGGCTTCACAAAGCTCTCCAACTTTTGTGTTGACATTAGGTCTGTTTTAATTCCCATCACCACTTCTACTACCCCAAACAAATTCCCTTTGGTATTAACACTCCAATGCTTTAAAAAAAAAAATGTTTGCCTTCTTCCCTATACGCATGAGCTGTTTAGTACTTTATGTTATTAAAGCAGAATTTTGGCAGAGCTATCACTGGCCCACAGCAGTAATTACTAAGAGTTTGCATAGCTGCCTCTGACTCACTCCGCCTTGGAAATGTTATTACTAAAGTCTGTCTCATTGGAGGCGCACAGGGAGCTTCTTGTGAAGCATGAATTTTTGCTCAGGCCATTCCAGCGACACTCAGCTCATATCCCCAACAGAATCCTGGGGCAGGAGACCAGATGTAATGAGCGAGGGAGGGAGTAAGCTATGTAATGATAAACACAGGCTGAAATATATATCGTTTTGCTTGAAGCCGCAATTATTTCATGCAATTATGCATTTATGTCTCTGTTTTTCATGTTCTGTATGTTCGTTCAAACCAACTGATTGACGTGAAACATTGCCTATGACCGAGTAACCGATGAAGAAGGGGAATGGTCCATTAATTTTTTCTAAGGGAAGATTTCTGTGTAACTTCCATGCCCTAGGACAAAAGAAAAGGGCAAGAGAAAGTGTCCTGGGGTCTTGGTTTAGATGAAACAATTCAGATGTGAAGTAGTCTGAGATATGAGAAAGGCATTGAAGTCGTCGGGGATTAGAGATCCTTTATTCTACTATTGATCTCTGCCTGTTCGCTTTTCTTTTTTGTTCTCTCATTTTCTCTGTCTGTCACACACTCACACAACCACACCAGCGCCTAATTCCTCCTAAGTTTTTCTCCGCTGGCTGGTGAGAGCTCAGTGAGAACTGTGTTGCCTTCGTGTCTTGCAGTGTGTCCTGACAGCAGTGTCCATTCAGGGTGAGATGTTAAATCTCTTTTCAGAGTCAGCAACCTCTCTAAGGTAAAATCCTAAGGAGGTGTTCATTAATGAGCTCAGCCTCTGCACCTCTGCAGTACTACACAATACTGACCTGTAACACTTACACAAGTGTGTAAAGATGCACACATACAGGAACACACACCAAGGTAACCTGTTTATGATTATTCCTCTCGTACATTTTAAAAGGCCTGGGGTATGGAAACACTGCAAAGGAAGCATTTTCTGTCTCTCATTCTCCTCACTAATTTATAATTTCCCTCTGTGTCTCTTTCTCTACTCCCCCCCTCCTCCCCTCTCAGAGAGCGAGGAGGGAACAGGGTGGTCTGTGTAGGTTGCTCTCTGGGTTTGTTTCCAACAGCAGCTTATCTGCAAATGCTCAGGTTGAGCTAATTGGCATTATTAAACCAGTGGCAAGCTTGACTCAGATATAAAGGGAGGTGTGTTGGGTGTGTGTTGGGTGTGTGCACATTTGTGTGCGTCGGTGGGCCCGCACAATCATCTATGACTGTGCCTGTGAATATGTGTGTGCAGAATTTTAAACCAGCAGCTGTCAATTTCAGTCAGCAGGGCACGTGGCATGTCTGAGGGCCAGGTAGTCCAATTACAGGCAGACACGCTCGATGTACGAGCCGAAGCCCCGGCCTATCTTCCTTCATTCAAACACAGCTGTGGGAGAGGAGACGCTAAATGTGATGTTGGTCGATGTGTGAAGGGCAAACACTATTGGGAGCCACTGTTGGCTCATGGAGGATCGACGCTGGATGGATCAGGGGGGATAAGGAGTTAGGAGAGCTGAAGCAGTCACAGTTGTGTTAGGGGGTTATTGTGTTACAACTGAAAATGATGTTGGCAGTAAACTGTTTGGGAACTTTGCAATTTCTTTCATTTAATCTTCTGCTCCTTTTGTTTCTCCTGTTCTTAGGGTGGGAAGATCCCAGTGAGGTGGACAGCACCAGAGGCCATCGCTTACAGAAAGTTCACCTCAGCCAGTGACGTGTGGAGCTACGGCATCGTCATGTGGGAAGTGATGTCATTTGGAGAAAGGCCTTACTGGGACATGTCCAATCAGGACGTAAGTGTTATATTTATAATACTCATTAGACACTATAGCATATATTCTGTAATCCCCTTTTGAAACAGGGTGTTCGATTGCAACATTACATAAGAATTGATAACTCTAGTTAAGGAGATAAAGGCGGTTTAAATCACACAGACCAATGTGTTTTCATCAAATAAATGTGTTGACTTTTTACATGTGTTGACCACCTTACAGCAAGGCGTCACTACAGAAGATGCACCTTTTTTCCAATAATTTTTAAGTGTCTATTTCAAGGGATCCTTAAGAAAGATCATAAATGGGACATCTGAATGAGTGTTATCCCTTTTCTAAACTTCCATGCCGTAAAAAAAACCCAATTCTAAATCTGGATAAACTGCCTCATTAAAGGATGGCCATTTCCGTACAGATGTGGTTATATTGCCTTTTCACCCCAAAGATAAGCAATCAAGGATAACTCATAAGAGAGGAAGCTGTGATAAATCACACATATTTTATCAGCTCCCATCTCATAGCATCATCATTGAAGATGTCCTTGACTCTGACTTTGAAAGCAGACTTATTATGGACACAGTTTCACACTATCTTCTTTTCCTTCCTGGCCAGCTTTTGAGAGCAATGAATGATTGCTGAGAGCTCTGCTTTGTTCCCCACGTCCGTTTGGATAAGGTCCACGCACAGACTCCCACCATCACACAGGCACCCACACAAACACACAAAACCATTGGATTTGTTCCCATACTATGAGGTCTCTCTTCCTAAGCTCCCTTATTGAGACAGCTAGCCAACCATCAGGCCTCTATGGACCCAGCTCCACAAGGACTGTCCAACCCAGCAGATGTTGCCTCAGTGGGCCAGCAGCAAACACTGCCCGGTGGGACTAATGCAGAGAAGAGGACTGGCATTGCTCAGCGTGTCCGGCTGCTCATTCCACACACACACAGAGAGACACACACACAAACACAAACACAACCACTTGCAACACACTCCATATGCACCATTTGTCAAGATTGTGCTGAATTGCACTCAACTCCAGGGTGGAGTTGGCAACCTGCAGAGCAGCCTCTAATTTTTAATGATAGTATCTTTTACACTTGATTTCACACCAGACCCTTATCTTGCAACTATGCATTTTTCAGAAAAGATTACATCTACAAACAGTATGGATATATGGATATGGGTGAAAGCTAGGTCCATCAATGTGCAATGCAGCAATCTGGCAATCTTTAGTGTTTGTAGTATCTTGAAAGTGGCTTTATAGCTGCATATTAAGCATTTTTGTACTTGACTTGGTTGTTTGTATTCTTTTTACAAACCATACATTATAGCTTACAAAACAGAGGGTGGTGGGTAAGGGGTGGTCATTAAATTGTAGGCACTCCATTTCTGCCTCCAGGCTCCAAATTGTATCGACCTTTGTTGAACTCTCAAGAAACACTTCACTCTACCCTCAGAAACTTTCAGTCGTAGCTCCACTATAACAAGTCCAGGATAGCCCAGGAAGCCTTTGATACCCCATTCACACCAACGGTGTTTCAGGGCCGGTTCGGAGCTGGAGCTTGAAAAGCACCGGGTTTTCCTGTTCACACCGCAGCGGAGCAGCCTCTTAGCTCCGGAATCCGGTTCATTTCGAGCACCAAAAAATTGTCCGGCCAAGCAAAAGCACCACATACGTCACGCTTACGTCGAGGCGGGGGCAGGGGCAGGGGCGGGATCAACTCCTGAACAACAACAAAAAGCCGGCGTTTTATCCAGTTTGTACACAACGATGGAGAAACTTAACAAGCAGCAGTGGTCCACTGAAGAGACCAGCTACCTACTGGGAATCTGGTATTCCGAAGAGGTACAGAGGAAGCTGGAGCACCATCGGCCATGTTGTTATTGTCGGTGTCAGCTGTGAGGGGTTTCCGCGCGGTTTGGCTTTATGAAGCAGGCACGCAAACTGTTACGCCATGACGCAAACGATGACGCAATGACGCAGCACCAGTCGGACTCTGGGCAGTGTGAAAAGAGCCGGAGCTAAACCGAAGAACCGGTTCTGAACCTGAAAAGCTCTAGCACGGAGCTTGAACCGGAGTTGCGTTGGTGTGTGAATGACGTATAAGAGACATGTGTCAAGTGGCTGTGCTTCGCAGTGTTAATAATATGCAATCTGCCCACTCACCAAGGACTTCCTCCTACAGTGACACTGCCACTGCTTTCCATCTCGCTCCTTGCTCTGTCCTCCAGGAGTGGCATGTGATTGGCTGAAGTCAAGAGGAAGGGCACATCAGCCTGCATGCTAACTGTCACAAGTGACCAGAGGGAGAGAGACTGTATGGGGCTGGGCGGGGATGTTGTTGAGGCAGGGATGAGCGTGTAAGGATAACACAGTGGATGTGCTTACTGTCATTAGTCATTGCAAACTCAAATGAGTATTTAACTGTTTTAAGAAATATATTATTGACAACCAGCCGGCTGGAAGAAAGACTTTGTAACTGACAGAAATATCTTGTAATTACTCTATGAAGTCTTTATAATATCACCTGAGCTTACCTTCCCACTCTTTTCCCCCCAAGGTGATTAACGCAATTGAACAGGACTACCGTCTTCCACCCCCTATGGACTGCCCCAGTGCTCTGCACCAGTTGATGCTGGACTGTTGGCAGAAGGACCGTAACGTAAGACCCCGCTTCGCCGACATCGTCAGCACCCTGGACAAGATGATCCGTAACCCCACCAGCCTCAAAGCTGTAGCCAACATCCCTGCAGTGTGAGTAAAAGCACCTTTTTTCACAGCCCATGATATACACGTTCACCCCGAAGTGGATATTAAGCTGAAGCTTTCATCTGTTTATACATACAGTATTTACACTTGCTGTCTATACAAACTATCCAGCATGCACATGCTTACTTTTATCCTTGCATAAAATAAACATGAATGTATTACGGTTGATTGCGTCAACCCTGAACTTTTCATCCCCAGACCTTGTTTTTTCTGTTGCTTACAAATCTCAGCCATCCACAGTTACATTTTGGTTTTCAAAATTGTTACCCCATATTTATAGAGCCAACACATGTCCTTAGACACCTTAAAATATATAGAAACATCTTATCTACATACACATTCCTAAAGCTTTATGGGTTATTTTGTAGAGGCACCATTGACCTTTTTTTAATCTTACCCAGACCTTGTTTTAGGCCTTTTTTCCCACCCTTTCTCGAACATCCTCTCAAACGTGGCCAGATTCTCTATGGACTTTCTGTGAACTGAGAGCTTCAGGTTTCTTCAAAGATTTTCCGTTCCAATTTCCAGGCTTTGGTTGGGCCACTGAGGGTCATTCAGAGACTTGTCCCGGAGCCACTTGTTTCGGCTGCATGCTTTGTGCTGCTGCCATGTTGAAAGGGGGACTTTTGGCCTTTTGTGAGTTTGAGGATGTGCAATGGAGCATGTTTTTCCCTCGAGGTCCCTTTTGTATTTAGCCCTATTCACAGTTCTTTAATTGTGTCCAGTTTCTTAATGTCTCACAGTGAGAAATATCACAATAGCATGCTTTCTATAAATGATAGTATTGGCCAGGTTATGAGTGGTGGCTTTATTGTTGCGAGTTAAAGCACTTGGCATGAAGGCCAAGGAGTAATGGTTTTCTCTAATGGTACTAGAGACTCTTTGTGTGCTTTTATAAAACATTTGAATAGTTGGATAGGTAGGTAGATAGATAGATATAGTGTAAAGTATAACACCTAAATGTGTTAGATAAAAAAATCAAGGGTCAGAAACACTTTCCAAAGCCAATATTCGCACAGTACACAGACACGGACACACTTTTGCCTTCTCCGTCTCGCATCCTCGCACACACACCAACGCAAACGCCATAACAACAGTTTCTCTCCTTCTTTTTTATCTGCTTAATATTTAATCAAAGCCTTGCTCTAAACTTGCTTGCTCTTACCTTCCCCCCCTCCTTTCCTCTCCCTCCTCCAGGCCTTCGCAGCCACTGCTGGACAGATCCATACCTGACTTCAACACCTTCAGCTCAGTAGAGGACTGGCTCGGTGCCATTAAGATGAGCCAGTACAGAGACAACTTCCTCAACTCAGGCTTTACCTCCCTGCAGCTGGTGGCTCAAATGACCTCAGAGTGAGTTCACCTGCCCGTCTGCAAACAGATTCAAAGCCATATGGCACTTAGATTGACACACTTGAATAAATTAACTCATCTTGAAGTGCATTTATTTTTAGCATGAATGCGCCCAGTGAGTCAAGTCTTTAAATGATAACATTGAATTAAAGACTGTACTTGGTAATGCATACAAATATAACAGAGAATAACAGAGTCACTGTGGTAAAAATAATTCCATCCATGCTCTTCCAATATTATAAGTGCTATCTACAAAATAATTAATTTTATTTGCACAATTTTCTAAAATGGATGTTAAACCTTTAGTACGTTAAAACCTTTAGATGCATACTGGATGGAGCGTATTTATTTTCTGTTATTGATGTGGAGTATTTTAGAGTGGGTCATGACAGCATTTCCTGTAGCTTGTGATACCAATTGACACAAATATTGCAGTTCATTTATTTTAATTAGCAATGTTGCTTGATCTGCAAATGTTCGTGAGAATGTGAAATCATTCAAACATTTATTTTATATTAAATATGTATGCTCCAGGCTTGGTGACATTTATATATTGTATTTGCAATGCAAAGCAACATGTATTATTTTCTCAAGTGATATAATTAATTTTGTAAATGTGTGTTGCCACTAGCTTTCCACCCTGAAATTGCCCTTTCATCATACAGCAATGTAAGGACTGTAAATGCACCAGAGAATGATAGCCATTTGTAATCCCTTCATAGTCAAATTCCATCTTCAACATGATGGAAAGCCTTTCATCTATTGCTTTTCAATTTTCTTTCTCTCTGCCTCTTTTTCTCTAGGGACTTGCTGAGAATAGGAGTGACCCTGGCAGGCCATCAGAAGAAGATCCTCAGTAATATCCAGATCATGAGGGTGCAGATGAGCCAGTTACCCACGACTATGGCATGACTACAGGGGGCGCTGTGCCATGGAGCGGGCAGCATTCGTAGGACCAACAGCAATGGCAGCCCTCGAATGACCCCCGATCCATCGGAACGCGCCAGAGTCGAGACTATTGTCTTAATCTAATCCACTAACGTGACAACAGGAGACCAGGGTCCTCACCACCACATGGTTAACAGCTATCACCCTTCATGTAATCCACACCAGGAGTTCAGGGTCAAGACTTGTAACTGTTTCTCCATTTATCGATGAATGGAAGACAGATATCAGTTGCTGCGGTTATGGACTGCCATGCATATCATTGTAAACCAAAATAACTCCAACAACCCGACATCGCCACGTGGAATCTCTCACAATTTCAGACCATATGGTAAAATGAGTGATATTGTACTTCTATATTATCTGGACTAGAAGATGTTCAAATTGTAAACAGAAGTGTGAGCCATTTAGAAACAACGTGTGAACTGTGATTTTACCGTCGTCAATGTATTCAATGAAGATGCCTTGACCTGGCCAGAAACCAGTCCAAGAAGAAAAAGCAATTACCAGTATGAATAATTAGAGGGAGAAGGATACAGGGATGTACAGTGGAGCGCCGTTTCCAACTTTCACATCATCCTTTGCTCGTTTGAGGAATTTGAAAATGGTATCGTAAATGGACTGGTGAACATTAAGAGCCAGTTACATTTTTGTCTTTTACCATCTGTTTGATCGTTTTAGTTTTTTTTTATCACTATAGCAAGATGCCGCTCACTCGTATTTTAACTTTAACACTACCTGTGGAGTCCTGGGTGGAAGGCCTGCCAAAGGACTTCTTAACCAGCCCCACCCAGATTCAGAGAATATAAATATGTTTATCTCTTGCTAAATATGATTATATCTTTCATAATAAACCTTCATATTGAAGGTGATATGTATGAATATGTATGTACAGATCTCTCTGCTTGCATTTTTGGCAAAGATATGCTTGTTGACTAGATTGTGATAGACACATGCAATGTGTAGATTCCCTACGGTGCCCTGGTTCCTTTACGATGACCGAACAACAGACACTGGCTTGTACGGCCATCTGGACCCAATCTTAGCCTGAAGAAAAACACTAAAGGAACTGTGGGCAAATCATTGGTATTGTAGATCAATATGAAAAATTCTGTAGGATTTAAAATAATTTACAAAATATCCATTTATTGGAGATCATGTTTAATGTGGGTGTACACATGCTGTCTCTTGCTGGTGAGCACTTACTTGTACAGATATGTTTTATGTTTTTATTTCTTTTTGTTCTGTTGTTGATGTTTGTGTTGGGAGTGTTCAGCCCCATCCAGAGGGGAGGGGAAACCAAACCCACGCCTTGGCCGACTCAGATCCATGGTAAATACCCACTAATCACACAGAAAAAAACACTTCTTAACATCAAATTGCTCTGTTTCTGGTAGATTTTATTTCAGGCAAATCCAGTTAGTCCTTCTCATGGGTGCTGCAGATATCTTGGTGAAGGCAACATTCCCTGCAACATTGAAATGCATAAGAGAGTAGCTAATCATAGAACTGGAAATTGGAGTGAAAGAGCATCACTTCTCTTCACAGTGAAATGAACATCTGGGCTGAGGTTTGCCAACAGACGCCTGATGCCATTCCTGTGAGCCCACACGGGCACACTGCTCACAGTTTAGCAAAGCCTCCCATACACTGCTGCAAGTACGCTGCTGAGTAAATCTATGCATTCTCACTATTTGCTGCTGCCATATGGGTAGGCAGGTTGAGCACAAACGCTGTTGTGCCACAGAGAGTTTCATATATCTCTCCATAAGTCTTGGCTGCAGGAACTGGTGTATGAAAAATCACTCTTTGGTAGTATCTGATTGCAAGATGTCTACATTGTTCCCAGGGGATGAGGGATGGCTGTCTTTGGAATTACACGGCAGTATTTTTGGAATATATTTTCAGCATAGCTCTGGGTAGTGCACAAGGATGATTTCTCTTTTTTAAGGCTGTTGATGGTCTTTTATGATTGCAGTGGGATTGGTCGGTGCAATGAGACGGTGTCAGGAAACCTTGGTGATGAGTAGTAGAGGTTTGTTTCCCTTGAGGCTTGCTTGCTTCAGGCTTTGGGGAGTTTTTGCCATGTTTTATAAATCAAGTGTTAGCAATAACAACACTTGCCTTTAGTAGTGAAAGCAAACTGACCTGAAGGTTCCTGTGGTAATATTCCTTTGACATCCAGCCATGGCAGACAATTATCATGAGATATTGTAGTGTCACTTATCTGCATTAGCTGAGACCCTGCTGAAATCCCTTTTGGCCCTATTTGAAGAGACATGAATGAATATGGTTCTAACCACCTTGGTCCCAAAATTAGAAATTGATGGCAGGCCCATTAGCAGATTATTAAGTATACTCACCACCCTCGAGTCATCTTCCTCCTCCTCCTTCTCCCTCTGTCTGTCCTGCCCTCTCTGCCTGTCTACACCCCCTAGCTGGCACAACTCCAGCTTGTTATCCTGGGTGTAATCATGCTGTCCTGGGCCAGGATGGGCAGGACTGGGCCATGACTGCTCTGTCCTGGGAAATGGTTAGCTCCATGCTCCAGTGGGCCCAGGCAGGGGTGCAAACACCTGCTGAGACCCCCTTCTGAAAGGCATCTGATCAGCCAGCTGGGAGGAAGACTGATGGGAACAACAAAAAATAAACACACACACACACACACACACACACACACACACACACACACACACACACACACACACACACACACACACACACACACACACACACACACACACTTAGGAACCCTCAATTATGTTTACCACTCTGTTTTCCCAGCCTGGATGATTATGAAGGGAAAAGGTGGCAGACCAGATGGTATATAAATGGGGACGGTAGGGAGGAGAAGTCAGTGTGCCAGAGGGAGGGGATGGCATAAAGATAGGGGTTCTTAGATGAAAGTCAGAAAAGTAGCCATTGAAAGGTATCAGTTTCTTTTCATCTTGCAGTATGTTTTATGTGGCCAACATCTTTTGTCCTTGTATTATGTTGATTTATTTAGTTTAGTTTGGTAAAGGAAAATACTGTAATCAAGCTGCTAGTTTGCCTAATGGGCAAAATCCATTGCTTTCTCCTTTCAATAGTGCAAGCCGTTTATTTACCAACTATTTCTGAATATGATCATATGCTTCTTGAGATTGGCAGAAATCCCTTTAGCTGAAGCCAATGATTGAATTTGAATGCATTAGTCCTCTATTCAGCTCAGTGTCGTGTGTTTGCTTTTCAACCCAAGAGCCTGTGAATGGGACGATAGAATGTATTCATTATGCAACAGCGTAATTCTCCATTTGCTCCGTTTGTCTTTCTAAATACGTGACAGTAATGACACTCCAATATGATAAATGGAAAGGGCGGGTCACTATCCCTCTCTGAGAGTCGTTTCCCATGGATGCCATTCATCACAGACTGATACAAAACACAGGAACAGAGCTTGTTAAACGTTTCATGGTGCTGTAACTGTCGAAGGAGGCACCAATGATCCTTTTAGTAGTAGATTCCATGCCTGTCATTTACGGTATAGGGTAGAGCAGTAGAGGCTGTGTTCACCTGAAAACAATCTGACTCAACACCCTCCAAAACGTATAAAAAAAACCTGTTCTCTTTTTTCCCCTCTGTTTCAGACTGTGGACTCAAAGATATACACACATATAAAAACAGCACACACATACACTTCATGTACACACTTTACACACCCTGAACACTTGCAATTGCTTCGGTCAGCCAGTAAGCAGGAAGGATAGGCGAAATGGGACCTTTCCAGGAGACCAGTCACAACCTCCCCCTATAGGTACACACTGGATGGTGGAGCTGAATATGAGTGTGAAAATGTCATAGTTTGTTTATTTGTGCGTGAGAGAGAGAGTGAACGTATGTGTTTGTTTGTGAGTAACAGGCACATTTGTGTATACAGACATTTATGTGTGCACAGGTACATTGTTTAAGAGCGTGAACAATTATTATTTTTTTGTCTCTGTATAGCTACCACTTGTAAATTGTGACAAGTACGTGTCAAGAGTTTGTAAGCTGTAACTTTCTGAAAACTATTGTACTAAAATGCACTCAATAAACGCCTTGGAAAACAAGTCAATCACTTTATGATGCGTGACTCAATGGTCTATAATTCTGTTTTCATTAATAGTGAGTCAAGAAAGCAGAGAGTAAGGGTTATTATCCAGGAACACCACTGTCAGCGCTGTGTGTCATCGTGACGTCTAATGCTTGGTTTCATAATGGCTAAGGAAATAAACAGCATTTTGTCACCATCGGCCCGGGTGGCAGCATGTGTTAAAAGCCATGAGCCACTAATAAACGAGCCGTCATGCAAAACCAAATAATTACTCTCCTAGAAAAGTGACAATATTTTGACAAACTAGTCGAAAATTATCCTCGCAACTTAAGTGTTATGTGTCTCAAACACACACTTGCACACACACTCACAGGCAGTACAAATACACAAGTAGTCACAACAGCCTCATAAATTCCATTTGCCAGAGACTGAGACTTTTAGAGCTCTTCACACACTGGAAAGTGTGCCGCACAGTAATGATATGGTTAATGAGGTGAGGCGAAAGATGTGGGGATGTATCAAACTCTCAGCGTTCCTCCATAACTGTTTATTGACTCTAATTGATTGATAATATCCAGCTTCATATTAGCTCGGAGGCTGCTGTGCCAAGCCAAAAGGGAGCCAACAAGATTCATGAAACAACTTGTTCTTCTGTCTTTTCAAGTTTGTGATATTAAACAAAGTGCTTCACTCGTCACGTTGTCCTTACTGCGATGAGAAGTGCAATGATGTCAGTAAAGAAGTGGTGAAAACGTCTGCTGTTCCTTAAAATGTTTTGACATGGTGTTGATGAAAATGTGGAGATCTTGTAATTAAAGAGTAACTGTAACCACACCCAACAGTAATGTCACTGGGTCATGGAGTACACCTGTTCCCCTCTACAATCAGCTGAAATAAACCACTGTACTGTAGGTCAGCAAGACATGGTTTTCAGACCGTGTTAACCTGCCTTTTATGTAAACATGTCAGCCTCCTTAAAAGGAACATTCAAGCTTTAGAACTGTACAACGTTAGTCTTATGTTTCATAATGTGGCCCTCCACTGGTAATTATAGCATTGTTAACTGCTTTGATTTTGGAATGTGGCACAACATTAGTCAGAGTTGGAAAGAAACCCAGGCAGTCAGACCATTTTAAAGGTTTTCAAACCAACCGCCAGGTTTACCTTATGGTCTAAATACTTGTTTCCTGCCAACTGTGATATTTTTTTGGCAATGTTGTCTTGTCACCAAATTAAATAAATACCCTGTTGAGTCAAATGTTTTCATAACATAACTTAATATTGACAACCGAATCTAATTTCCTTTAATGGATACGTTCTTGCCTAAACATTAAGTACTCACAGACGACTAAATGTTTCATGGGAGTAGTCATATCGCTCAGGAGACAGTTCAAGGTCATGCGGATGCTTTAATTGAACGTGTAGAGCTATACCAATAGTTAAACAAATGTAATGACCATTGATATGGTGATGTGCTTTATAGTATCCTCCCCTACGCATTTAGCTTAATTGGACCTATTTGTCACAGTAATCAGACCAATTAGAGCGATAGTGGAAGATATGTGCCAGTGTGACAAGGAGTTCTACATTGCATTAGGTGTGAAAGCTGACGTTTGTGTGTGTGTGTGCGTGTGCGTGTGTGTGTGTGTGTGTGTGTGTGTGTGTGTGTGTGTGTGTGTGTGTGTGTGTGTGTGTGTGTGAGAGAGAAATAGGATGAGATCGCCCGATTGAGGCTGACAGAAAGCCAAAGAGATAAAGACAGAGATGAGTGTGGAGAGCGTTTTCTTGAAAGTATGCTTCATCCGTAACAGCGTGTTTATCACCGACGAGGGAGTCAGCTCCCTTTATTTCACATTAAAGTCACAGGAAGTTTGAAAAGTGACTTTTCAGCAGCAAATCTGTGCCTTAATCAATATTCCCTGAGCAATCATCTGTGAGAAAGGGATCGGTGCACAGCAGGGAACTCCTGCAGAGAGAAAGGGAGAGAGTTGGGGGGGGGGGAAAGGAATCCATCCAGCGGTGCAGATCAGAGAGTGGGAATAGAGACATTGTGAAGTGAATACTGAATGAAGGACGGAGGCATATAGTGAACTGACAACCACGGGGCATAGATGATGGCACAGAGACAGGGTGGGGGAAGCGAGCTATAGGAAGATAGAATGGAACAAAAGGTATTTCTTGAATCATTATCCTTGTATGTACATTTTTCAAGACATAATTATTTATCAAAACACAGAAATCATAACATAAATGGGCCGAAGCCTGCGAGCTAGTTCAGGCAGTCAACTTGAGCACCAATGATACATTAACACGTGACGCACCTCGTCCCTCTTACAACCAACCAAACACATTCTCCTAAACATGGCGCTCTATTTAAGCTGCCAGGTCTTCCTGCTTCTGCCTCGCCATGCTGCTGCTGCCACTGCTGTGTTCACTTGCTACTGCTACGTTCATGTTCCTGCTGCTGTGTTTCATGTTGCTGCTGCTTGCCTGATCCACCACCACCCCAGCTTCCACCTGTAGGCTCGGGGGATAGTTATCTAATCATCACCCATGTTCTTTGTAAATCTGTGGAGTGATGAGGCCCGAGCCTAGACCCCAAACTCAAACTATATGCTGCTATAATAAACATATTAAGAACACGTGAGTTGTCTGACTGAACTAGAGTTGTGTCGATCCTCAGTTACTGGTAGTTCACTTTGTGAGATTGTCCGAGGCCTAGATCTAATCTCAGTGCTTTCTGTCTGCAGGGCCTCAGTAAGCTGTGTGCATATTGACAGTGATCTTGGGGGTCTAGGAAAAGCCCACAACACAAACTGTTGTTTGGAGACCTGAGTCTGAGTATGGTTCACAAGCTCTGTGTGGGACTCTGTGTGTTTTCATGATATTCGTAATTTTACAAAATATATAATGTGAAATATAGCATGAAGATGGGGGACAAAGCTTACATCATGAGCCATCAGGTCTTTTCATTTTCCAGTCGGTTGTTAAATCAGGTTCAGATCTAGTAAAATGTCCATACCATTGAACTATTCAGCAACCCCTGTCACTAGAGGTTGACAGTATTAGCTAAAAATATGGATAACATGTATAAATAATATGGATTCTGCAAAAATATGGAGGGATTTGGTCCCTATGACTGATATTACAAATATAACAGAGTCTTTAGAAGAGGACACATGTAGCCTACACAAGAGAGGCACAACTCAACAATATCATGTATACAAAGAGAAAATAAAAAGTAAATGAGTAGAAAACTTTTCTCTGTTTCTGCCTCTATAAAAAGTTTGGAGTGCATTTATGGAGAGTGCTTTGTCTGCTAAAAGGTTTTGACCTTCAGCTTATTTTTCTTGCTTTCGAAGCAACATTTTATTTTTGTGAAAAAACATAGCTAATCCTGTACAATTCCTCAGCTTGTTGTGATGGGGAACGTTCATTTCACTTGGTAAATAATAAAGTTATTGATGGACCTCAGTGAATTAAGTGAATCTGTTGCGTTGCTTAATCAATATGTCAGCTGCAAGATTTCAAAGAGTATCTCTCTTAATAGTTTTTGTGTAGGAAGAGAAATTCAGCACCTGGGTCAAATTAGATTTGATGTCTCGAAGGAGTTCATCAAATTTAATTATGATACATATAATTACCAAAAGCAATCTACTGTGTGGTAGGAATAATCATTTCAGAGAGACGCTAGCACCTGCAGGGGTAAGGCGTCATTTAGAGACAGTCTTGAGTGACAGGAGGAAGAGAGTGAAAGAGAAACAGACAGAAACGGGTGATTGCTAGATACTCCTATGGGAAAAAGTCAGCGGTCTCCTCCTTCTTACTGTAAGAGCTTAGAAAATGACAGAAAATGTAAATCCTGCTTAACCAATCTTAGTGTCATTGTACTGTTTATTATTCGATGGCATAACAAAAGAACATTTGACAAGTACTTGATTTTGCTTGGTTGTGAAAACATGGCCGTCTTTCATTATACTTGCGCTTCAGAGAACATAAACAAAAGACTTGCCAAATCCAGATGTTTATAAATGAGCTGGATTTATCATAACAGTATGTGAAGAATGACTGCTGTTGTGCAGCAGGTAAAGAGTGAACAAAGGGATCGGGAGGAAGAGGTGAGTTATGATGGCTTCGAGGATCACAGCTGACCCTTCTCACCTTTCTTTCAGAGGGTGAGAAGGGGTAGGGGTTATGAGAAGGGACATTAACCCCCTTCCACATACACTGCGTCACAAGCTCCCCCACCCATACCGGAAACCCCCCGCAGAGTCTAATCCCACACAGAGCCCCTCACAGCTCTGCCTGCATTCGATTTGTGCAAAAATCGATGAAATATTTTCCCACCAAAAAGAAGACGAACAATAGGTGAGATCCGCACGTCAAGGTCTTCCTAATTAGAGAGTTCACACCAAAGGGCTCCTTTGCTTTGGGGCTTGCAGAACAGAGGGAGAGGGGGGTGAAACTGGAGAAAGAATGGATAGTGACTGATGAAGGTTATACCCTTCCCACTCGTTGCTCCCATCTCTCTAATATCAACTTCAAAACTCATAACCTTGGCTGCCAAAGCACATCCGATCGGCTGACATTTTCTAAGTTTCTAGCCATCGCTGTTCACACAGCATGCCATGCCAGTAGCTACAAGCTTTTCCTCTCATTGTCTCCTTCCCTGATATGCAGCGACATGTCCCTGTGTTTTATCACATCTAACCCCCCTAAAATGAAAGTGAAAACCCTTCCATATTTTTGAATTATTTAAAGGCCTTCTGATGTCTTTGCTCTAGGTAAGTGCAGAAGCTATATTGTGTAGTTTCTGTGTATACATTCTACAATGCCCTTAACTTGAGTGCCCTCACAGGGTGAAGAAACAAAGCAGATGATAATAGACAATGCTGACCTCTCTCTAATGAGGGCGTTGGGATGAATATATGTAAATCCCTCACCAAGTTTGCCTTTAACCCCTTTGTGTAGAAGAGGTCAAATACTTTACTTCTTCTCACAGCACATACCTGTGCAATCATGACTGCAGGAAATTCATTTAAACTTTCCTCAGCTGCATGATAAACAAATTGGTTCCTCACATAAATGCACCATATCAATTTTCCTCCACACTTACAGTCACTTCTAAAAGTACGTTCTCATGGTCAAGCACTACACAGCAGTGATGCATGTGAAGCGGAATTACGTAGAGCAGTGAAACATTGGTTAATGGCAGTCATTACTGCTCTTAACCAGCACCTGCAATCTTAACAGATGCTCAAAGCATTGAGAGGTACGTTTCAGAGACAAGCTCCAGCTGGTGTAATGCTATTCATACTTGGTGAAGAGGGATACACTGCACAGTCATACTTTATATGATGCCGTTAACTGGCTGTTACAGAGCTCCTTTGGAAATATATAGCATTCAGCTTTATGACACGCCAATGTGTGCATACTAACTTCAGATCGTAAACAATGTATACTTCCAGTCCCCATTACTGATTGGCAAATAAGTCAAATAAAAAGGGACCTGTGTCAGTTAAACATAACACCAAAAGTGACTCATACCAGTATTAAAGGTACTGTGACTAGAAATTAGGGCTGCTCGATTATGGCAAAAATCATAATCTCGATTATTTGGGTCAATAATTGTAATTGCGATTATTAAATGTGATTATTCATTGACTTTGAAAACATCCATTTATTGGAGAAAAAAAATNCAGTAGCTAGCTAGCTTAACGGTCCACAGACTGATTTACGAAGCTAACCTTCGGTCGACGGACGCTCGCCAGCTACTTTTGCTTCGCACGGGAATTCTCAGAGAATTCCCGTGCGAAGCAAAAGTAGCTGGCGAGCGTCCGTCGACCGAAGGTTAGCTTCGTAAATCAGTCTGTGGACCGTTAAGCTAGCTAGCTACTGATCTTTCTCGAGATGTGCTCCGAAGCGAGAAGAGGTGTTTGAATGACGCCTGCGTCGTGGCGCAAGCTACTTATAGGGTTGGTGGATTCCCTGACGTTGGCGTCAAGATCACCAGCCAATCAGGATTGGCGTAATGAGATTGATGCTTCTGGTGCATACGCGTTGAGGCGCATCCCATAGTGAGACATCGAACGGAGTGTTATGAATGAGAACCACAGTTACAGATATGACATCAGTGCCAATCTCTTCATCATATATTTGGAAAGGTGACAAACGGGCCAAGTTTTCAGGAACACTGCTGCAATCTGTTTAGCGTAAGGGACACAGTGAGGGATCATTGTGCTTATTTACAACCACATGTTACTTATTTTTATAAAACTGTGACTAAGAAATTGCCCAGAAACATGGCATTCCTGATATCCTCAAATATTTAAAGCTGGTAGACAACTTTTACAAATGTTGCAGCAATCAATGTCAGGTTGACTGTTGAAGCAACAAGATTACTGATTCCAAACCCAACCTGAAGCCCAAAACATGATTTATCAAGAACATTGGGTGACCTCAGGCTAAGCTTGGGTTTGAGATGTTCAGCGTTCATAGACTGGGTTAAATCTCTGAATGATAATGGTTTGGGCTTATTTGGATCTAAGGTCACAGTCCTTCACTTGATTTGACCAGTTGGGCCTTTGCTTTTTAGTGATGCTATGTTGTGTCAGGCACTCTGAGTGTTGGCACAAATCCTTCAAAAACACATTCTGCAAGATAGAACTAGGCTTTAGGAGTGAATATTTTTGTTTTATGATAAAATATTATCATATAACTGCTGGTAATAACTGCAGATGAGGCTATTTCTGAGTGATTCTTCTCGGGATCCGATGGAGTATTATGAGCAATTATTTTTGGTAAATAGGTCAGGAGGGGGCAGGGGCGTGCTGAGGGGGAATCACAGCCCTCAGCAACCCTGCTGGGGAAAACTTCACCTCATTAAGTCCTTATTGGCAGCACTGCAAAAAAGTGTCATGGAAATAAGACTCAGCTCATCATCTGTCAGGACTATGTCTTGTAAATGTTACTCAAACCAAATAAATGTTGGCTGCGGCTGGGGAATCTGTCACTCCGCCTGGCTTCTTCAGCAGTTGGCTCTCCATTTTAAAACAACATTGACTGCAAGAAATTAGCCTGCTGAGTAACACTTTCAATTAGGAAAAATCCTATTTGCCGGGTATTATATGACTTGTTTAGTAATATATGAGTCATTAACTAAGGCTTTTCTCCTATGGACATTTATTTAGCACTATGTTACACTCTGAATAAAATGTACACGTGTTGCTCTTTAAAGTACTTTAAAGTTCCAGCATCATCATCACAAGTACTTTTATGAGTTTAATTTGACCTGTCTGAAAATACGCTGATCAGATTTTGGCAACTCTATGATGTCACAACGATTGTTTGGCTTGTGTAACCACTAGCAAATAACCAACCAAGGTACCCCCCCCCACCCTCTTTAGGTAACAGACAGAGAATCAGCACTTTTGAAAAAGAGCTGAAACAGAGGGGTTTATGGGATGCTACAATGAATGATCTGTTTGGTATTTCGAGCCAAACACTTCAGAGACATGTTTTGTATATATATCTGTGAACTATAATATATTGATGAAAAACAGCATAATGGGGACCTTTAAAAGCAATAATCCCCTAATTAACATTTCATTAATTTGACCAAAGATTTGACCAATACATTCAAAAACAAGGAAACAGGGTCTCTACCTACTTTACATGCTAGTCATATAAAAAGGGCAAGGTAGAACATGTGCTAGAGCAACACTAATAGGCTCCTAAACAGAGAAGCGCAGGGAATAGGCTGCAAGGCTTGAGTTATTTCTAATGACATTGAGTCCCAGGGTAGCTGGCCTATATGCTGCTGGTGCTCTTGACATGGGCCCCAGACATGTTCCCATGTGATGTGGCTGGTAAAAGTGCTGGGCTTTACGACCTTGAACAGATGCAGGTTAAACTTGTTTGCACTCGAGCACACAGATATACACATGTAACATAAATACATAAAGATACAGCGACTCACATTAACCTCACATGCACATGTAAGGAAACACAGACACACACGTTGTTCCATAGCACCCATTCTCCATACCTGCACCGATGACCTCTTCGATTTTGACGGTGGATACGTCAATCTCCTTGGCGAATTCTCTCACAGCTTCGTTGGGGTCTTCGTAGGTAAAGGGATCGATGTAGATCTTCATCCCCGGGGAGCCTGAGAAGTGGGTCGGGCAGCCCAGTGGGGAGGGGCAGTTAGACATGTCGGCTCGCAAAGAGAGTTCTAGAACAACCAAAGTGCTCAATAAGCTTTTGAGAAGAAGACACTCTTTGTTTTTGTTTCCTTGGCTAATGATGGTATTAATGATTAATGAATGCAATAGCCCTTTAAGTCAGAGCCTAAATCAGTGTGTGACACAGCATCACTTACAATCACAACAGGCTCTTAACAGTTTAAAGGATAATAACTCCATTTAGTCTATGGTCCGCTTTAGAGACAGGTTAGTGCACTATATTATGCAAATACATATTAGCAGATAATGCAGACATTGAATAGTGTTATTGGTTTATTACAGGAGCGCCCCTAGTAGAGTAAAGCAATGCAATGCAAATGGTGGTTTGATGATTCAGTAGTTGGAGTGAAAAAAAAGAGAGAAAGATGAAGGGATACAGTATATGGAAAGAGTTTATGTGGACAGTTTTCTTTTCTTTTTAAACGTGTATTCCTTAAGCTAGCTTGTCTTCTTTTTGATAGCTGTAGAACCAATTTTCCCCAAAGCCTTTCCCTATAGGAGCTCATAAAGAGATAAAAACCACTGCGCTATCAACTATTTCTTTTTATGTTGCTCTTCAAAAGGTGAATCAGTTCACAGACTGGAGATGTCTGCAAACGGAGGAAGGGGGGGAAGAGTGTTGAAAAACACTTGTAAACAAATTCAATACCCACTGCCACACGACGGGCATTAGGGCGAGCAAGCAGACGTCAAATCATCATTTCTACAGTGACACCCAAGGGCAGCCCTCTTTCTCACAGCCGTTTAGTCAAAACCTTGGCAGCCATGATTGGAATAAACCCATCTCCATCAAGTCAATTTGTGACTGCTTATTTGCATAAGCCACATAGATAGAGGGAGGGGTCTCGAGAGACATGAAGAAGATAAGATCTGGTCTTGGAGGGATCAAGGTGCCTCACCTCGCTCTTGACTAAAAGCTGATTCTAGTTACTGCACTAATTGCCTTGAACCCTGTCTGTGTGAATGTAATTGCTCATTAGAGATTCCATACAGATTGGATTCAAGTTAATCCATCAGAGGGTTTGGAGCTTTGCATTCCATAAAGTCGTTCTATTTACAAGTGTCGCCAAGCTGCTCTACCAGCAGCACCACTGCTTCTGACTCAAGATCTCTGAAGGGAGCATATACAACAACAAACATATGAGGAAACATGCGCACAACATCTCATGCACGCACAGCCGTGTACACATAGAGTACGTACACCCATTGCTTTCTAATTCACAGTCCAGAGCCCACATTCATATTTAATTTAAAATGCAAACAGTTTATCTCTCTCCCTCCCCGTGGTACAGCCCTCTTAAACTGGACTCATTCTTTTATGACCATCAGATAAAAAATAGATTCCTTCTTTAATATTTTACATGTCCTTCATTTAAGAGTTTGAAGCAAAAGTATCCCAACGTCAGTTCTATTTTCTACCCAAGATATAAAATAGCAATCCTGTCGGGAGAAAATGCACGGCTGCTGCAATGACTCATGGGAGTATAACACATACTTTATACCTTTTTCAATTAGATCACCGCATAAGGAATGGATAAAAACTCAATTTGGATTATAAATCTAAACAAATTCCCTTGGCCATGACACAATTGCTAAAAACAGTTAAGGCTATTAAGTTGACCTGAATTATAAATTACAGTTTACTGCACTGCACCATGTTATTTTCACCAATGTCCAACATTTAGCCTGGTATTTGTCTGCCCTGCTCGTTAACTGAATGGCCCTAATGTATCCACAAATCAACTGTAAGGCAGTAATGCGTACTTTAAACTATTACTGGATATTGGTACAATCAAATTACTGGTCCTACTGCACATCATTTACGTATTGCCTTAGGACAAACAGCAAAGTGAAACTGTAGCTTCATAAATGCTTATCTTTTCATCTTTAATGAACAATTTATATATCTATGAATCTTTAACCAAAAACATAATTCCTTCTTATTCCTTTTCCCAGACAAAATTCAAATTTAAATATTTTCAATATATAGATAATCTACTTTGAGAAATGAACATACACAATTTCAGGATACTGTACACCTATAGTAAATTCAGTCCCGCTTGTGTCCATCCGGGATGCACACTAATCTCCTCTGTGGCTCTGTGATTATAATGAGCTGAGTGTATTTCCTAAACACAAACTAATTATCCATCGTTTGATGTCAGAAAATCTGTTGTCAGAAACAGCGCAGTTTATTAGCATGGGAATCACAGAGGGGATCTAAACATTGTCTGGGATTAACACTCACATTGTTACAGATGTGAGTTTTTGTTTATCAGGCATTCTGCTAGTCCAGACCCATAGTACAATGTCGCAATATTCTCCGGCTTCTTACCAATACTATCTATGCCTCAGCTAATGCATTGACTTTACATTTATAAATGCAATTGGCAGTGGCACCAAAAATAACTATATACAAATGTATTTGTCATCTAACAATAACCACATGTGGAGAATAGGCCTTCTTCTCCCATTCTCATTCAGTGTGAGCAGCAGATGCTGAACCACAAACAACAGCTGAAGCTACAAAGCAACATACAGGGTTTGAACATTAGTGTTTTAAAGATGTGTTGCAAGTCATCTGCAGAGAAGCATTAGGGCATAGAGTTAACATGTAGCGCTTAGAAATGTCTGTCTGTTAATTAGCTGGTGTTGACAGGTTGTTGATGTGTGGAAAAGTGGGAAAAGTGAGAAAAATGGTATATGCTCGGACGCAGTGAGGTGTGTGTGATACGTTGAGATGAACGCTAATGATGCACTGATGTGTACAATTAAAACAAAAATCATCCATGCCACACAAGCAGTCCTTGGTTCATCTGTTGGAATGATGTGTTTGTTCACACATGGGTCCCTGCCTGTCATGACATCCCACCCACTGGTATAATGTTAGAGGTCTAATTTTCATAAACATGACCACACCACAAAGCACATACTAATTTTACAGTATGAGCACCATGCCTCTTGACGCCTGTCACATTAGGTGCGCTGGGAATGAAGACACATCACCTAACGTGTGTGGCAACAGCTGGAACAGTAAGCAGCTGTTTAAAACCCTGTAACACATTTTTGGAGATTCACCCAAAACAATTGGCTGAGCTGCGCTATTTAATTGTTGCGTTGGATACTGTAATTACAAAACTGCCAGTCAAATCTTTAGAGAATAGAAGACAACAATACATCATAGGATGGGAAATTACTTCATGAGGTTTGGCGATGTGAATGTTGACGGAACAACTTGTGAATAGGATCCCTTATCAGCGTTTTATTTCTTCTCTGCTTCAGATTGCTTATTTGTGATTAGGGCGGCAAGCTTCTCTGATCTTTATTTATTTTCACCACTCATGTTAATTGCATTTTTTTTAACCAAAGATAGCTTGTGACAAAACTTCCTCTGCCCACAGCAGGTTTAACGAGCCCTAGGCTGCCACTGCTGAAGCTTTGACACAAAGTAACTGTGCTGAAACGCTTTGCTGTGTCAGGCTCAACAAAACTCTATACCCTCGAGTGAGCCCCTTTTCAGACTGCTAAGTCGGCAGTAGGGCTTTCATTTGTGGTACAAATCTCATACACACCCTTAAGTGTGTATGTGAGCGAGCATGTGTGATGGAGGTTATGTGTGTGTCCCTTCAGGCTCCTTCCCCTCATCAGGTGGTGCCCGCGGAGTGCTTAAAACATGACTCAATCACAGCATCATACAGCCCTGGGATACGACTGTCAGTCAGTGTCATTGTATTAAAGACCTGAAATGTAATTTACAACTACCTCAGGTGAGGATTTGTCTTTTACCTCACTTATTTTTCATTAATGCGAATACATTATGTAAGAGCTCATGATTAACGTACATCCATATGTATTTATTTATTTATATGTGTGTAAAAGGCATATAGTTTAGGTATATAAATAATATATATGAAAACTCTCAGAAAAGAGCATTTTTCACCCAGGCAGCGCAACATTCTAAATGTCTCTTTTTGGTATTAGGACATGTAAACAACAATCTCTCAACAAAATATGTATGGTGTATCAAAATACAAATTGATCTTTTTACTTTTCTTTTTTTTTCGGGTTTGAAATACCCAGAATAGGTACAGACAAACAAAACATTTGGGACCAACAAACCACTGGCCTGTGTTAGTTTGAACTTACCTCTTCCCGTGCTGTAATGTTGCAACTTGTCACTGTACACAGCCTCCTTGGTGTATGCCCTTTTCCTAAGGGAGCAATGAATATTGAGAGAGAAGAGAGAGAAAGGGAAGAGAGAGATGACAAGATGAAAGGAAGTGTAAACGAGGCCTTATTACTTTTCATGTTTCTCTGTATGGTCTAAAAATGACGTGGCTGAAATTGAATCAGTTGCAGAGGGTTAGCAGTGGCAAAATAAGTTTATGAAAATGAGCTGATTTTTAATTAGACCTTGATAGGATCTCTCTGCTTTTCATCTGTCCAGTCTGCCTCAGCATCAAAAGAGCCTGTCCCGCTTCATGAACACTTGCTTAAAGTTGCACACAGCACTGCAGAAATTTCGACTTTCATATATTTAAAGCAGAGCAAGATAGGAGTGTGACAAACTGCTGCAAAATTAAATTGCCTTGACCAAAGCTACTTAACATGGCAAAGTAGGAGTTTTTAGGTTCTCCGTGCATGTGTACTCCATTTAGAATATGTCAACTTTGCTGTCCTTACCATCAAAATGATTGCTATGACTAAATGCGCAGCAAGTTTATGTAATGAACTCACATACTGTGTTTTCCACAGTTTGACCCGGGGGCTAGATCTCTAATGTCTCACAAACTGTAATGAGTTTCAGTATCAAAGTATTTCAGTACTTTGAAGATACAGTATCTAAACATATGACGGTTGAATAATGCATTAGATGCAAAGTGGTAGAAACATTGACAATCCATCACAATGTGATGGAAATCCATTTTCATGCAGCGTTGCCATCTGCCTTTCAATAGTTAATAGCAAATGGGAACACATGCAGGGATTCTGTATCGGATGGCATGGGGTTAATGTTATTATGTTCCCTATATTTGCTAGAGTGCCCCAGGACGCTATATGCTGTTATTACACTAACAAAGGTGAACTGGATTTGTTCCTATTTTCTTCCTGAGAAAAAAATATTTGAAGCATTAAGAAAAACTAAATGAATGTTGTTGACAATTCAATCTGTCATTGAAAAATGTTGCAAATAAGTCATTTAATTACAGCCTTTTCTGCCATGTATTGCAAGAGACAGAACAAAGTAAAAAGTGGTTACCTGCTGCAAACGATGGAGATAGCGATAAGGGAAACAATAAAGACCACTCCTGCTGCCGCTGACCCTGCAATCAGAGGAAGCTGCTCCCTCAGCTCAGACTTGAAGTCATCTGTGTTACACAAAAAAACACAAGAACAGGCTTTGAGAATAGCTCATACATAGTATAAGGAATAAGAAGAGGCATAGTTGAATGGTTAGACTGGGTGTACTATTGTACAAAGAAACCATATAGATCTCTCTGTGAGCGGTGCGGATTGAAATCCAGTAAGCTTTAGCAAGACTGGCAGACAGGTTGTGTTTGATAAACCTAGAAAGAGACAGAGAGTGACAGAGAAGGATAAGAGTGATGGGGAGAAAGTGAAAGGGGGGCCTCTAAACCTTCTCAGCTGCTATACCTGTCAGAAAAAGCGGACACAAAGGTGCACCTTGGAATGTTTTTTCTTACGTGTTGAAAGGAAGGCATCTACTGCCAATCACCTGTGTAGCCCAAACATGTTGTATGTACATAGCTGGGGCAGGCTGGCAGGAGTTCAGAGGACAGCGTGTGTCTTCCTAAAAACTCTACACAGCAGAATCCTTAGTTATCTTTGTGTGTGCCTGTGTTCCCTCGTCTTTTCCAAGACTGTATTTAAAGCATTCAACGATTTTGCATGCTGCAGGCAAATCAGCAGCTTCTAAATCCAATCCCCCGTGTAGAATGGGTCTATTGGATTAAAGTGATAAAGGGAGAACTAATGCATCTTCCAAGCAGTGTGAGAGCTGGGATATATGAGGGAACTCAATGTGACAGGTATTGCTCACTCTTTTAACTTGCACATTTATCAAGTGTGTTTCAAGCAAACAGTGTGAATGATGTTCCGGCTTCTCAAGCTTCCAGGCAGTCTTCCTGTTTTATTCTGATGCATATCAGGCATGAAAAGTCCAGATAAATCTCCCCTTCACCCATATGAGAATGGAGTGTTTCTGTGACAGCCAGAAATCATGCAGCTACCTGTTTTCGTCGCAAATAGGCTCCTATTACAATTAGTTATTTAGTGTGGCTTCAGTTTATTGGAAAACTGGAGAACTCTGACATCATTAACCATAGTGATGGACCAATCAGTTATCTTTCATCATACCTGCCAATCAAGTCTACACTGCTTGCGAGTATGTGTTTCTGTGTGTAGAGGTGCAAAAAGACACCTTATGGAGGTGTATGAAAATGTGCCGAAAGGGTGACAAAGGGGATTATATGTTTTAAGAAAAGATATGGAGGGAGCACAACAGTTTGGTGGTGTCATGACGAGACAGTCAAGCAGTGTGAGAGGGGGGGAGAGAAAACTGGCAGGAGGGGCAGGAGGTGGAGCCGTGGGTATTATTGTCAGCGGTTCTCCAGAGTCTGCTGCTAATTGTCTTGATGAATGTCGTGCTATGGAAGCGAGCCAACAGATGAACCGCAAACAGTGATTGCTTGAACGGGAGGCATGGAAACACGCACAAGTGTTTGAGGGAGAGATAATTTGTTACCGTCAGGGTGATTCAAAGGTGCCATGACCCTACATCTGCTCTGCGTAGTTAAAGGGTCACAAGGATCACCTTCATCACCATTATTATCCTTTCTATATCTTCTCCTCCCTCAAGATCATCAGAATCCTATTCATTATTATCATTTTAATTAACGCAATACAAGAAGTAAAATGTCACTCCTGTCTTTGATACATTACACACACATTACATTATGAGCTATGGCCACACCTGGAATGTAGGCTAGCAGTTCAGCAGGGAACAACGAGGCAGCACTTGTAATTGCAAATCTTGTAATTGCTATCCATTCAAATGTTTAATTAATCCAGATTGAATCGTGTGTGCATTTTAGAATTCATTTTATTGCCTGGAAAGTCTATGAAAAAACACTACACAAAGAAGGGCTATTTACTGCCACCACCAGCAGCCCAGCACTCACATTTTCTTACACTAATAAACTTAGTTCCGCAGCATTGCCAGTGCAGCAGGTGTTGCAGCTTCTCTTCAGCCACTTCCCTTTCCAACAATCCAGCCCCCCCATGGCAGAAAAATTAATCTCATCAACTACTAATCACAGCTATGCATTCTGGGACGACTCTTCAGCAACAGAAGGCTGGGTGAAAAACCAATTAGCTAAGCATTTTGGATCAAGCACAGTTAGTTGCACAAACAAAAGACACTCGGCGTTCTACATATTCAAAGCACCCACACACAAACCTGACCGTGAAGGAAATTAATCTAGCTGTAGAAATAGAAGTGCAATCAAACATTACGGTTCCTCTCTATCTCACCTATGAATAATAATGCAACAACAGACAAAGAGCGACAAGAGTGTCAAAAAGAGTTGGTGTGTGAGTGTGTGTGTGCGTGTGAGACAGAAAGAGAGAGACGCACAGAGAGCTGTTTCTCCTGGCTCGCGGATCCTTACCATCTGTGAGGGTTTGGAAGCACATCTTGCTGCTGTATTTGCCAAAGCCAGCCACAGTCCGTGCTCGCACCTGTACGACGTAGACTGTACCCGGCCTGAGGCCCTCCACACGTGCAGTGTTAGTTTGGCTCCGCAGGATGGTGGAGTTAATCTCTGCATGGTCCTGGAAAGAGCAACGGACACACAGAGAGCAGGTTAGAGATGAGTTACAGGGAAGGCGTCAGCTGGAAAGTGTTTAAACCACACAGTTAAAAAATAACACTCAGGCATTGTATATTTTGGAAATAGCATGGAGAAAGTGGACCAAAGCTGGATGAAATCAGTTTAGGCTGTATATTGGAAACCAGCGATATAGGAAGTGCTGTTTTCAAAAAACAACATTGACAGAAGATGTATGAAAACAGTAGATAGCATAGAAAAATAAATACATGGAAGATAAAGAAGGGTACTGAAGCTGGGGGGCAGCAATGTGTTTTACTATGTTCAATCTGAATTTTCTTTAAAATAAAAAACATCTATATTGATTCTGACTATTCTACATCCAACTCACAGGTTTATCATTACTTTGAGAACAAAGATTATTAATGTAACCCTTTTAGAAGGGAAGATATGGTCATTTGTTTTGGGAATGTCATTTTCGAGCCTGAGACCTGAAAAACAGGCTCAGGGTTGAACAGGTTAAAAATGATGTCTTAAGGGCCAATTTAAATATCAAACAGTAATATGTTTTTGCTTTCGGTTTTTAATAAGGCTTTGGTCAGTTTACCCATGAAAACACAAGCACACCACTCACAAACACACGTACATAATGTGGTAATTAAAAGGAATCATTTCTACAAACAGCAGCTACTTCGGAACAGTAATAGAATATTGTCTCTTCAGATGTGCTGTATGGCAGTTGAATTACTGCAGGAAGTTGGAACAATACATCCTCTTGTTTTGTTGTCTGACATGCGATGCATTTTAAATATAAAGGAAGGCTAGAAAAGAATCCTAGGTGCAATTGCTTTTTGTGGTGACATACTATGTAGGTAAGTGCCTTTTTTTCATATGCTCTGTTTCTACATTTGAATATATGTTCGGATCCTGGAAGTTAACATTCATATTTGTATGTAGGCATACATTATGGCCGTTCATCATGTAAAAGACTGTATAGAACATGCCGTCCTGATCATGCATCTCTTTCTATCTTTTCCAGGCTTAAGTCTGCAGTAACGTTTGTGGCTTGCTGGAGGTATCTGATAGGGGGGATCAGTAATTACTTAGGTCTGTCACCTTCCCCAACCCAGAAGGAATATGACAGCCAGAAAATAAGACTGCACCTACACTACACCCACCACTGCAGGCTGCTGATAGCTAGATGCAGACACACTGTTGAGAGGGAAGAGGGCAGTTGAAAGTGGGGGGGCGTAATTCCCTGTGTCAGTAGAAATGTGTAAATGGAGACAGGTTGTTTTTTATTAAACTTGGTAAATACACTAATAATACATGTTTGACTGCTCTGAGGAAATATGAATACAAAATCTAAGCTGACAACAGTGAGGAGTGGGAAAGATAGATAGGCAAAGAGGAAGCAAGGGGCAGGGGGGTGACGAGGAGGAGGAGAAAGATGATGGCAGGAAGCGATAAGAAACTCGAGGCAGAAGCAACCCACATCGAAATCATTATCCAATCTGATTGGTGTAATTGAATCATTCCGGTTGCTCCGTCATTGAGCAGACGGAGCAACCCCACATAATGATTTGTGCAATCACATTAGCTCTTATTGGACACTCTGGGCTTGATGAAGACAAATGTTTGTGCTTGGGATGGGAGAGCATCGCATCAACAGGCTTACATTCGGCTTCGGAGAGGAAAAATATGTTTATAAACAGAAAGCTCGATGTAACTTGGTTAGAGAGTTTAATCATCTCGCAGACCTTTTGTCCATTAGATCCCACAATCTGTTACTTCTTTGCTGTGCTGCATACAAATATAATGGTGAATTTAGAATTGAAAAGAGGCAGCTTGTACATTTGAAAGTGATGTAAAAGACATGAAACCCCATGAGACACTGGAGCCACCTATTCATCTGGTATAAGACATGGTTGAGTGCACACGGACCACTTGGGGTCAAGAATTGCCTTCTCCTTCTATCAGTCTTTCCTGAATTTCTCCGGACCACACCCCCATCTGTTGAGTTTGAATGGAGGACAGGTGAGCAGACAGATGGCAAACCGCCCATGGGGGAGAATCCCTTGAGGGAGCACCAGCTAGGAATGGCCCTTTCATGCTGCCAGTCAAAGAGGGATTATGTGCAAGACACACACACTCACACACATCTGCCACTTAAAAATGAGCTGGCATTTGGCCCTCCTGTGAGCTAGGGGATAGCCAATAAAATGCCATGCCAGCAGGGACTTCCAACCACGAGAGGTCCTCTCCTGCTGCCAGTCAAATGGGGATTATGAGGGACACACCCTCACTCGCTAAATAAAGAGAGTGTTGCAGGTGGGAAGGCAGATGGCAGAACAGCCAATCAAAAGCATTGCCAGAGGTGACAGACAGGATGTACCACGTGGAGTTTGTTTTTGGCAGCATTCAGTCAAATCCCTGAGACAAACTTTGCAAGATTGTTACACAACTTGTCATTGGTTTCTGTCTCAATATGTGTACTAGCTACTCAAACTAGAACTACCTGGAACCACATTGACAACAGTTACTGGGCAAATGTGCACATATTTAAACAGGGGGTAGGCAGTATAGTAATGGCGTCATTGGAAGATAATTAACGTTTTAGAATATTGTAAATCAATTGGTTTGAGAGAAAACTAGACGTCTGCATCTCCTCTTGGCTTTATTCAGGCTTTCAAATCCAGCCTGTGAGATCATGGACATCATTTTAGTGATGGAAAGTGCTTATTGGCTGTTCTACAAAATACAGATGCGTGTTTACATCCCTTTGGTGCAAACCTGATTCCAACTTAGAATGTCCTAAATGCATTTCTAGCTTTGGTAACAACTGCCCACACTGCAAAGCAACAACACATTTTAAGATGGAGAGAATATGTTGCTTATCAAAAATAAACTACCTCCCTAGCTTTAATTGGTACCATTCTAAAGATTTGACTTTTGCTAGATGTACTACATTATTACTGTATCTATTATAATCATAATGGTGGAACTCCAATACTTTTTCTTGTTAAAACTTTCAATTTATTTTTGTAATTGCCAATTTTCCAACAATTGGCATTTTGCTGCCAGCAGACTGCAGAGGGGGAGATCCTTTCTGCCTGTTCCCACTTAAATTCAGAGGGTTTTTGGCTGTGTATTTGCCAGTGAAAACCATTGCCGATGAGTGTTTCTAAAGGCAACCAAGACATTATATGTTTTTATTTATTGGGCTATAGAACTAACCTGACATGATATGATATGACGTGCGTGTGTGTGTGTGTGTGTGTGTGTGTGTGTGTGTGTGTGTGTGTGTGTGTGTGTGTGTTTGTGTGTGTGTCTTTTTGTTTGAATGCGTGGGTCTGATTTTCAAATAATGCCAACCACCCAAAATGGACAGCATGGCCACCTGGCGCAAAGACAGACATTGTGAATACCATGTGTCCTCTTCACAGGCTCACACACATGAACGCATGCAAGTATAACACACACACAGACACACACAGAAACACACAAAGGGAACATGATAGGAGTTTCATGAGGGACAACATTCTATTTGTATCTTTGTTAAGAAATAAATTGAATTGAAAGAAAATAAAAATAAAATTGACAAATATTGACTAACAATTCAAATCTTATTGAGTAGATGGGTTTTATTACCAAATGCAAATGTTCAATACTACTACATAGATTCTAATCTAAAGTAAAAATAAATACAAATTATTATCATTAAAATGCTGTTAAATATTATATTTAATTCCATTAAAACCCCATAAACGCCTTTTGGAAATACATAAACTAAAATAATGTAAAATCAAATATCACCATATGGCATAACAAAAAAAAAGGTTTTATCGTATTCAGGTCCTGCAAAAACTCCTGCTTAATGCTAGTGAGCACGCTACGAGAGAGGTGAGAAGCATCATCTTATCTACAGTGCAATTTGAAGGGAAATGTATTTACTTTGGCGCTTTTAGTTATTTTGTCTTTTTCTTTGCAACCAACTTCTTTTGAGATGACTCTTTGTATGCTTTCCATTCACCTGGAGACTAACAAGGAGGCCTCAGTGAGCGGGGTGGGAGTCAAACAAAGAGGGAGAGAAGAAGGCAGTCTGAAGGAGGAAATGTGAATACCCTTGCTAGGGGACCGAGGGAGTGCAGCACAAGTCCTGCTTTTCATAGGTTCCATTAAAAATCTAAGCTTGTCTGTACAACATCTGTGTGTGTCTACAAAAGTGTTGTGGTCGACTCTGAGGGCTGGCAGGGAGAGAAGAATAGAATAATAAACACTTTTTCTTGGCCTCTCTTCTGAGGAATTGCTAATTGTATGTAAAGTACAAGAGGGATTTTAAAGTGCCAACAATGCAGATGGAGCTAGGGTCAGTGTGCTGCAGATCCTGGAGACGTGCTGTACACTTGTGTTTGCACCTGACTTTATCACTCAGTTACATGAGAGTGCTGTTGTCATACAGAATGAATACACCTGAACTACTGCTGATAGTCACACACAAACACTGAGAAAAGCTCCCACCCTCTCTTTGACAACAACAAACACAGGGCCATCAGTAACCGGAGCCACTGGCTGCTCTGCTCCATTCTTAATGGAAGGCCTGACCTTCGCTATGCTGAGTTATTTCCACCCTCCCACAAATTTCAGGGAACCACGGGAAAAGGGTATGAGAAAAATAGAGACTGGGAGCATGAGATTCTACTTTTTACCTGAAAAACTTGAATTCATTTCATCTTGCTATCCAATTTATAGGGTAGAATCCTCTTGAGAGAAGTGCCTTCAGGACTACATTCTTAACTCCACTGTTCTGGCATATGTTTAACTTGCAACATAAAAATGGTTAATCACGTCTGGAAGTATCACAAATCGTTATACATATGTGGTGCTTGTTAGCTGTTACTCTAACCTGACTTTCTGGATCGTATTTACCGGTAATTGTCTCACTAGAACCTAAAAGGGACATTGTGAAAGATTTGGTGGCACCTAGCTTTTTTGGTTGCAGAT